TATCAATTAAATCATTCAAACACAAATTAAATAAAGATGATGCAATTAATCCATCAACAATTTAACCCTAAATCATGATTAACCACTTCATCAATCTCAAATCCCTAATTAAAACTACTAACGATTCATAATTGAAGAATCAACAGAATTGGGATGAAAAGAAATAATTGTCATTAATTAAAAAGATGAAACTTACAAAGAATCGCAAAATCTTGATGAACAAGGCTGAAAAAGCTCTTAAAAGTTGAAATATTGTTTATCTATCTAAGCTCTATAACGTAAAACAGGAAAACAAGGGCTGAATTTATAGAAAAAAGTGAAAAATGGCCTAACTATGGACCACACGGTCGTCCGCACAGCGTGCAGACCACCGTGCAGATGCGCCAAAAAAATTCGTGTCTCATAACTCTTACACCCGCACGGCGTGAGGATGCCCACACGGTCTGACCGTGCGGGTACTTCAGAACTGCGAGGCATGCGGTTTCATCCGCAAGCCGGGGCATGGGGGTATGATATATGTGCTGGGCGCGCAGACCTCTTTTTAATCGTTTTCTTGCTCTTTTCTTCCACATTTGACCCCGATTGATCTTATCTTCAATCTGTAACCTCTTTTCATACTCCTAAATCATCATGTGGACCTCCGATGCTTCTTGCAATCTCTCGAACGTGTCCTGAATCTTCTCAAATTAAGCTCTAACGTCGATGCCGGGTCCAAATTCCTGATTTTCTCTTCTAAACACAAACCAAACCCGATAAACCATGACTTGAGCTAATTAAACAATTTGTGACTCATATAGATTAGGAAAAGTGACAAAACTCACTCCCAACTCGCATCAAATGTGTGGTGAAATATGAACTTATCACGACATTTAATTTGGTCTCATAGATAAAGAAAATGATACTCCGTATAAAAACCTTGTTTTACTGTAGCAGTGAAAAAACAAGTAAAGTTGCAATTGCAAAATTGTATATCGAAGTAAAAAGAAGAATTAAGTATGAATGGTATGTATGATCATTTGTCAAAAAAACGTAATCTTAATTTTGGAACTTCCAAAAGGAAACACGTAATTCCTTGTTATTGGGGAACGGAGGAGATATATCATATATGTTTGTTAGTACTCCGTATAAGTTATGGCCCTAAATAAAGCTCTCTTTCCTTATTAGTAAACAGATTTCTATAAATTTACTCTACTACCCGTGAGTAACAATGACTGGTGTGTCAAGAAGTGACATCAAAACAATGTATTCCATGTAAACTTTACCATAAGTTAAAAGGTCATTTTAGAAAGTTAAGGAAAAAAATTACCCTCATTTTAAAAGGATATTTTGAGATATTTTGGCAGCAATACATTCAGATTTTCAAACTCACAAAAAACCCACACAAAGTAGATAATTGTGATGGTGTCGATTTTCTATTATCTCTATCACGCAGAGAAAGTCAAGCCAACATCCACAAAGGATTTTAAGTACCTTAAAAGCCACTGAAAAGCATTTCAATGAGCTAGCCATACTAGGATTTAACATGTATCTACTCAAGTAACTAATCGAATATGCAATGTCAGACCTAGTATTAACCATGAGATGCATGACGGCTCCTAGAGCATTCGAATATCGCACCTTTTTCATACTTCGTATCATTTATTACAATTTCAGTGTTGAGGTACTTATCCTTACTTAACATAAAACAAAAGGCAAGACTCACATTCAGTTTGGCTAGGGGGCCTTGGCCCCTCCCAACTTATACCATGGTATATTTTTACTAATTCCTACCTTGTAATTTTTTTGCCCCCTCAAGTTTTATTTATTTTTATATGCTAGTGTAAAATGTTTTTATCACCTTCATATTGTTTTAGTAGATAATAAAAAATACTCTATCACCCCGTGCGTGTTTTGCGCTATATTTTAAATGGATAAATGCATAACCATTTCATCACAAAAATATAAATTATTTACATACGTATGACTAAAATAAAGAATATTTACAAAAATGTAACTTTTTAAGTGCAGTGACTATATTTATAGTAATTTATGTTATATTTTACATTTAAATGACAATGAGACTATACCATAGTAATTTTCAGTCATATTTTTATAACTTTCAATTCATTTAGTAATATTTTTGCAAAACCTCAAAAATATATTAGACGTGTTTGAATCAAGAACTTTGCATCTAAAACAAATACAATGCGGTTGTCAAAACTTAAGGGTAAGCTGTATGTCAATAATTTTGGTGGCTCCCCTTCTGTCGTATTCTGGCTCCGCCCCTGCTCACATTTCCACCAACGAGCCACGATGAGTGGCAAGCGGTGAGCTACGAACTCCCACCAACAAGCAATAATAGATGTCCACCAACAAGCGACGGGCCTCTAGTTGAGCGACGGACGATGGACCTCCATCATATCAATGAGCGACTGACGATGGACCTCCATCATATCAATGAGCGATAGACCATGAACCTCTCTAGCAACGGCGTGAACCCTCCTAGCGGTGGCGTATCTCCGGAACTGAAGAAGCGACAACGGGTGATGGTCAAACGGGGGAATATGGCGAAATTGATGGTGATGGTAACTGTAATTCTCATTCCACTGTTGGTAGGGTATGTCGTCACTGGAATTTTGGCTTAAGTATTCCATAATTTGGTTCCTCTCTCAATCATGCACAACTAGGATAAGGGAGAAATGACCCTAGTCTCTAACCTGGCCTCACTCTCATGCTCACAACTTCAATGAGAAGGTTGAGCACTCTTTGAATTAGAAAATGGATTCACCAAGAAGCCATAGGGAGGGACCGAGGGAGAGAGACAAAGGAGAGTTTTGTAGATGTGTTTCTCTAATTCTCTATCCACATAAGGTGCATGTGTGACCAGAAGTCATTGACTATGTTTGGCTGGAGAAGCTGAAAAGACCTTTTTAGTAACCGTTAGCTTTTTTGAGCTGAAAAGTTTGCAAATGGAAAAGATCATAGTTGTTTCATAAAAGCTGACTATTTTAAATAGTCATGTTTGGCAAAACTAGCTGTTTTAAGTAGTTGAAATAATAAAATTACAATTAAGGGCATGAACAAATATAATTGATTAATAACAAAATAGAATACATGCATGCACATAGCTAATACGAAAGAGTATGATTTTTTTAACCACAATTAAAATATTGTGATTTTTAGGTTCCTCACAATTTATGATTTTAACGCTAATCAAAATAAAAGTAGCAAATTTTAGGGGATAACAACAATGAAAACCCAGTAAACACATAGCACACTAAAAAATTACAGCAAACATTGAACAAAAAACAGAATATGAATACACAAAAAACAGGAAAAAAACAGGAAGTAAATATAGAAAACCAGTAATAAAGCAAATTGATATCAAAGAGTAAGATATACACTTTTTGGTGCCTTAATTGCTTCAGCGCATAGCAGTTATGGAATGGATCTCCCTTGGTATATTTGACCCTAATAGGATAATCCATATCCATTCCCCAGGTAATATATTATGCAGCACACCCAAAACAAGAAGATGTGCATTTCAAATTGCATTCAATTCACCCAAATGGGTTCTCAGCAGGAGAGATTGTATTCTGGGCAGGAGGTGCTGCTGCATGTAGGAACAAGTGAACAACTCAGGGAAAACAACAACTATTACCCTAAAAAATTAGCATTATGATGAACGAACCGAGCATGGACATTCAACAAATACACAACCCAAAAAGATGCCAAGGTATTTGTTGAGAATAACCAATATCAAGAATAAAATCAAGAAATTTATTCTAATTCCTAAAACAGAGTTAAGAAATAAGTAAAAATATAACAGAAATTCGGAGTGCCATTTATACCAAATTGATGCAAAGGGTAAAATTTATCCAGCTTGAATATCACACAATTTTGGCTACGAATTGTTAAGCAAAAATTAAAAACTCAACCAACCCATCAACTAAAACGGAGATGAATGAAAATGTTTAACAAAAAGAATCAAATTGAGGAAGAAGATGGAACGTACCTGCAGATTTCCAGACGGGGATACTAACGAGTGAAAGCAAATTTGAAATTGGAGAAGACCGATTGGATGGAGCGCAGGGTTATACGAGGAATGTATGTAAAATAGGAAAAGATCTTTTTGAGGAACACTACCTTCCGCCTGGTCTTCTCAAGAAACTTAACTGGCCAAACACACAACTAGAATCTTTTAGTTACTTTTTAAATAATAGATAAGTTAGAAGTCACCAGCTTTTCCATGCCAAACATAGCCAATGTCTTTTGGGCTTATTAGCGAGAAGAGAGGAAATTCATATTATAATTACCATAGTTCCACTAACATTGAGACATGAGGAAGTGACACGATTGTCAAAGAATTGAGTTTATGTAGTTGATATTGAATAGATGAAGTAATAATAAAGTAAAAATGAGTTAGTCACACACAAATTTTACCAAATTCGGTATGAGACAGTCTTAGTGGAGCGGAGCGAAAAGGAATGATGAGACAATCTTAATTCTTAACAGAACGAAATATATCCTGCACACAGAACTCAGATAAATTGGATTTTTCCAACCTTTCGGCACAAAACGCACCTCACAGAATTCAAATTATTATAATACCCGAGTAATAGAGTTCATTTTTTATTCAAACAAGAGAGGTAACAAAAAGTTAAACCAAGCTGATAAATGCAATAAAATTTTTACTTTTATTCAATTTATTAAAAATCAATCGCATTCAATTCATGTGGACGGCATTCAATCCTGGCCTATACATGTCTTTTAGATGTTTTTTCGTGTGGATTGTCAATTGCGTCCAAGAAAGGTGACATGTTCGTGGTTTACACTATTGGAACATAAATAATATTCGCATTATTTACTCTTATCTTTATACGTACATAAATAATGTGCACATTATTTATCCTTATCAACATACGTGTAAATCTTATCATTAGTATGGGTCAAGTATTGCTATGTATATATATTCGACCAACTGTACATCGTGAGAAATAATATACTCAATTTATCTCAATCTTCTTTATGGTATCAAGAGCCAATCTCTAAAGAGCTAGTTTTTTTTCCATCATGGTCATTACCGCCACCACCCCCGTAATCCCACTCACTGCCACCACAAACTTTCCCGTCAAACTCACGTCCTCTAATTTTCCAGTGTGTAAATGTCAAGTTCATTCAGCCCTTGTTGGACTTGGCTTAGAAGGTTATGTTGACGGCATCATTACCGCTCCGGATCAGTATCTTGATGCTGCAAAAACCCAACTCAACCCTTGTTATGCTATTTGGTACCGCCAAGATCGTACCATCATTAGCGCATTAATCGGTAGTTGTTCCGATACAATTCAGCCTCTTATCTCGTCGGCCACTACGGCCCGACATGCCTGGGAGAAACTGGCTCGTACATATGCCAGTACTTCTCGCGGACGAATCATCTCCCTCAAGACGACTCTTGCTCGCACCAAAAAAAGGTAGTCGATCCATTACCGACTATCTTGCGGAGATGTATGCTCTTTTTGAGGCTCTAGCGCTGTCTCAAAACCCCATCTCGGAGGAAGATCTGGTTATCAACATACTTAATGGGCTTGGATCAGACTATAGTGATCTTCTATCTGCCATCCGTGTCCGGAAGGAGGCCCTCCCATTGACTGAGCATCAGGATATATTGCTTGAACGTGAAACTAAGATTCACGAAGCAGAAGCAGAAAGTCAATCTATTCTGCCCACAGCAAATGCGACTCACCTAGCCCCACCTACCGGAGTTCGTCGCAATTCTCAACAGTTTGACTCCAGACGTGGATCCATGCATCGAAGAGGACGTGGCACCTACCCAGGACATAATTCTCGGTCCTCTAACTCCCAGGTTGTGTGCCGATTTTGTGATATACCTGGTCATGAAGTGCGCCAGTGCAGGAAATTGCAACGCTTTTTACGAGAAAATCATCTGTCTCACATGGTGTCATCTCCTCCACCGGCAGTCAACACCACGGCAATGAATACCTCCACTAGTCAGCAACCATGGCTATTTGACAGCGGGGCGTCACATCATGTGGCGTCAGACGCTTCTCTATTGCCGTCGTTTAATGAATATGGTGGCCCGGATGAAGTTCGCCTTGGCGATGGTAAGTCTTTTCCCATAACACACACTGGTTCTACTATAATTCCCACCCGTACACGACCCCTCTCCCTATCTAATGTCTTACTTGTACCTCGTTTACAAAAAAATCTTGTCTCCGTCTCTAAATTGTGCCAAACTAACAACGTTTCCATTGAATTCTTCTCTTCTCATTTTGTTGTTAAGGATCGGGTCACGGGGGCGTTGCTCATGCGCGGGGAGAACCATAATGATGTCTACTATACCCCAATCAGCATTCCTACTCAAGTTAATGTGTCTCAAGCGTCGGTCCGGTCTCGGTGGCATCACACTCTTGGTCACCCTTCAAGTCGAGTTTTCAGTTTAGCTGCACGTCAAAATAAAAATGTTATTTCCTGTAATAATTCTAGGGATCCGGAATCTCATTGTATGTCATGCTCAATTAATAAAAGTACGAAATTACCATTTTTTATTAATTCTATGCATGCTACTCGCCCACTTGAATTATTAGACACCGATGTTTGGAGCACCACAAATATGTCCATCACTGGGTGTCGGTACTATGCCATTTTTGTGGACTATTATACACGTTATATCTGGTTTTATCCACTCAAAAATAAATCCGAAGTATCTCACATATTTCCTCAATTTCACTGTCTTGTTGAAAATTACTTTAATTACAAAATTAAGAGTATTTTTTCTGACAACGGCGGTGAATACATCAAACTGCGGTCTTACCTTAATACTCAAGGTATTTCTCATTTTACCACCCCGCCCCACACTCCTGAACATAATGGCCTTTCCGAGCGTCGTCATCGTCATATTGTGGATACCGGTTTAGCCCTTCTTCACCATTCCGGTTTACCACTCTCATACTGGCCCTATGCCTTTCAAACAGCGGTTTATCTCATTAATCGCCTACCCACGCCAGTTCTAAATAATGACACACCCTACCGACGTCTATATGGCCACAAACCCAATTATAAAAAACTCCAACCATTTGGTTGTTTATGTTATCCGTGGCTCCGACCCTATTCTCCCAATAAAATAACATTGCGTTCACTACCGTGTGTTTTCATTGGTTACTCCCTCTCTCAGTCAGCATATTACTGTCTTGATGTTCAAACTCATCGTGTGTATACGAGTAGACATGTTCGGTTTATTCCCGATGTTTACCCATTTCGTTCTTCACCCGCATGCATGGGCACGTCACCGTCTCCACCTGAACAAGGTTCCACGCTTCCCAATACTCCCATATGGTCAACCTTATCTCCACCCATCCATGAATCTCCCTCCCTGACAAGAAACTCCACGAACACTCATACCCCCATACCAACCAATACTCAGCCCACCTTATCCCCTTCCCACATGTCTTCCACTTTCCCTAACCCCTCATCCACTCATTTAATTTCCATGTCCAGTACAAGTAATCACTCCCCACCCTCACCGACACAAGCTTTATCTCATTCTCGTCCCACCCGTCACCGTGTGCCTAACCCAAAATACTTTGGGGGTCCATTTGTCAACACCACTACCCGTCACCCTCTCCCATCCAATCTAGAACCAGTGAGTGTACGGCAAGCCTTAGCGGATCCAAGGTGGAAAGCAGCAATGGAGGAAGAAATGGCGGCCCTTCGTCGTAACAATACCTGGAGCCTTGTTCCTCGCTCCAATCATGCACCAATCACATGCAAGTGGCTATTTCGCATTAAACGCCATGCAGACGGAAGGGTAGCTCGACTAGTAGCCCGAGGCTTTCAACAACAACCTGGCAAGGACTATTCAGAAACATTTAGTCCGGTTACTAAACCGGCCACTATTCGGGTTATTCTCTCTTTAGCTTTGTCTCACAATTGGCCCCTTCGTCAATTAGATGTAAACAATGCATTCTTACATGGCACACTAACCGAGGAAGTTTACATCGCTCAGCCCCCAGGTTTCCGCGACAGCACCCATCCTAATCATATTTGTCAGCTTCATAAGGCCTTATATGGATTAAAGCAAGCGCCGCGTGCATGGTACCTTGAATTATCCAAATTTTTATTATCAGCAGGGTTTCAAAAATCAAAGGCTGATGCATCACTATTCATCTATTCTCATCAAGGTGTATCTTTGTACTTTCTAGTCTACGTAGATGACATAGTGTTAACGGGGAATAACAAGTCTGCACTTGAAGCTTTTATTGTCTAACTTACAACAAAATTCTCGGTTAAAGATCTGGGATTGCTACACCACTTTCTCGGCATTGAGCTGGTTCCTCACTCCACAGGTATATTCTTATCCCAACGCCAGTATATACTTCACATACTGGAAACACTTCATATGGATGGAGCTAAAACAGCCGCTACCCCCATGAGCTCCACGGCACCACCTCATCTCACGGATGGTTCTAGTGGCACAGATTCTCATCAGTATCGTCAGGCCCTAGGACTTTTACAGTACTTGACATTTACGCGTCCTGATATATCATTTGCAGTAAATCGTCTATCTCAATTTATGCACTCACCTACCGATGCTCACTGGACATGTGTCAAACGGGTACTTCGCTACCTCAAAGGTACTTTGGACTATGGGTTATTCCTAAAACGATCATCTCCTATTACACTCTCTGCATTTTCAGATTCTGATTGGGGGGTGTTCGGGATGGTGGCAGATCCACCACTGCGTATGTGATATATCTGGGGTCGAATATTATTTCATGGAAGTCCGCCAAGCAAAAGACGGTCTCTCGTTCCTCTACCGAAGCTGAATATCGGGCCGTTGCTCATGCTAGTGCAGAATTAATCTGGGTTCAAAATTTACTCTCAGAACTTGGGGTCCGACTAAATACCACTCCACAACTGTTTTGTGACAACCAAGGTGCTACATATGTCTGCGTTAATCCTGTGTTTCACTCTCGCATGAAGCACCTAGCACTTGATTATTTTTTTGTTCGTGAACTTGTTGAGCATGGTCAACTTACTGTTACTCACATTTCCAACAAGTTACAAATTGCAGATATTCTCACAAAACCACTTGGGAGGGCATCTTTTGAGCATTTTCGGTCCAAGCTGGGAGTTTCCAATGGAACCTCCATCTTGCGGGGGCGTATTGGAACATAAATAATATTCGCATTATTTACTCTTATCTTTATACGTACATAAATAATGTGCACATTATTTATCCTTATCAACATACGTGTAAATCTTATCATTAGTATGGGTCAAGTATTGCTATGTATATATATTCGACCAACTGTACATCGTGAGAAATAATATACTCAATTTATCTCAATCTTCTTTATACACAACACAGGCTGCCAAATAAATATATACACTCCAGAATATAGAACAGTCTGGGGTTGAGTATATACTAAAAATAACCACTGCCAATGTCAAATCTGGATGCTGTCGGCAATGTTTGGAGAGTTGGTTTCTTGAGGCTTTTGGTTTAGTGAGCCGTGATAATTAAGGGTTAGCTGATTCTTATTTCTAAGTAATTTCTATGTCAAGGAAATTGGAACAGTGAGGTTTGAAAGAATGTTCCGGGAAATAATCGGACCAAGTAATCGAGTCACGGGTAAATCCAATCTAATTAGCATCGAAAACACACTAAGCATGTTATGGTTCAACTAGTATTCCACCCGTGCGTTGCACGGGATGGAAATTACAAATATTATAATATCAACCTCTGAATGAAATTATAGATTATGTTACAGAGTATATTTTATCACATGAATGAGAAGATTAGCCATTAACAAATATATAATAACAAATATGTGTTGTTTAATAAACACAAAGTTTACAAATTATCAAACACTTCTTTGTCGATAATATTTTTGCCTGGTTTTTTTCGATTTCTATCATCGTTGCATATCATGAACTTCAAGCTAGATGGACTTGTCACCCTTGAAATGGCAACATATAATTGTCCATGTGTATAAACCGGACGTCGTAGAAAGATGTCCACATTTTGTAAAATTGTCCTTGACTCTTATTCAGCATCATTGCATAGCATTTGACCCGTGCGTTGCACAAAAAATATTTCATCGATTATTTAAGTATTTTATATTTAAGAATCCCGGTAGGCAAACCATTAAAATTAGTAAGGTAAATATCGGGAAACAATGCAAGATTTTTTTTAAAATACATTAAAATGGTACTACCTCTGTCCCAGAATAAAGTTCTCATTCAGTGTCCATCTGGTCGACTTGAATCGATTGTTATTAAAGTATTCTTTTACTTTAAATATCTAACTTTTATCAAATTTGAGTTTCTTTTTGCGATTTTATAAAACTTTTAATATAGTTTTCGAATATATAAATTTGAGATCAATTAACTTTATGCTCAATCAACCATCGTAAACTGAAATGGAAACCTTGTTGTGAGATGGGGAGAGCATATAAAAAGACCTAAAATGCGTTAAATAAACACCATCTTAAATAAAATCAAAAGACTTTACAAAAATTTGTCTTATATTAAAAAGATTGTAAAACTCAAAAATAAAACTACCTAAAATATGGTTAAATAAAATCTACCTACTCTAAATAACAATGCATGGATGCTATGTTTTGGAAATCAGATTAATTGTAAATTCTAGCTTTCTCGAAAATAAATTTTGTTATACATAAAATTAAAATCACAATCAAATCAAAATCAGATATTAAAAACAGTAAAACAGCTACAATGAGGATCACTTGAATTAAAATATGATATACCAGAATTGTAAAGCAAACACATAAATTTGGAAATTAACTTGGACTCAAAGTTCTATTGATGTACACATTAATACCTTTTAACAATATCCAAGCAAAAAATTACGTAGTATAAAATAAATATAATCATACTCAATAACCAATTTTATTTATTTGAGAAAATCTGCAATGCCCATGTCCCTTGCTAATGCGGTAGAGAAGCTAACTAACTTATTAAAATCTTCTTGAGTTGCTTTGACTCCTTTGAGTAAATGCTTAAAGAATGGCAATTTGAGTGTAAACATCTGATTTATCCATAAAAAAGTAGTGTGACGATAGAAATGCATTAATTTATCTCAAAGAACTTGGTTCAGATTATGAATTCCGATAGAGCAACCAAATATAGTTAATCTCAAGTATAGTACTTTGAAATTCAAGCATGTTTGTTGACCATTTTTTTCAACTTATCATTAGCCAATATTTTTCACCAAACAAATTGAGGGAAAGCCTTGGTGAATTAGTTTGCGATTTTTGAGTTAATTATGATACTGGATGATATCAAATCAACTCTGGTGATTGGAGAAAAACATTTTTTTTAAACTTTTTTTTTTATCATACATTTTTTAAAACTAAAAAATCACCATAATAATTAAAATAAGGTTGAAGCTACTTTTTGTAGAAAATCATTTTAACTATTTTATAATAATTTTGTTTATTTTCTTACTAAAATGTATTTTAACTTTTAAGTATATATTTCCACAATTTCAACCCATTCAACCGCTTTAACCCGAATTTCATCAATTTTGAGAGATTCAATCAATTTCAGTGTTATCAAACGGACTTGAAAATAAACCA